TGTGTCCCGTCGGCCCCCACCCAGGGAGCCCGCCCTCCCGTCACCCGGCAGGCGTGGCTCGTTTCCAGTAAAACGTGGGCGTCAGAAGCCAGCAGTGGGCCGTGTTGGTAGCCAGTAGCTGTCCCGGGTCTGTCCTGGGCCACCCTGGTGGGATGTGTAGCACCCCCATCTCTGTGCCCGTCCGATCTGTTCACTTTCAGCGCTCTATCACAACACGGAGCTGTCCGGAACCTTCCTCACCAGGTGCGGCCCGATGTCGCAGTGCCACATGCTCCAGTACCTGGCCCGGTCCACCTACCCCTGCTGGGGCCACCTGGCCGAAGCCGTGAGGTGGGCGTGGTGTGTCCGGTGTTGGCCGTACCCCGGGGCCGGCTGGGGGGCAGCCGAGGACTGGCAGAGCCGGTGTGCTGGGCTGGGACCTCAGGGCAGACATGTGGGACGGCCCCGTGTGAGCGACAGGACGCCCTGAGCCTCATCGGGCAGTGAGCCGTGGCAGGGCGAGTGGGCTGTGCTGCGTGGCCGGGTGAAGGGGAGCCAGAGGACACCGGCTTGGAGCAGGGCGGGGGTCGTGCCGGCCCGAGGTCATGCCTCCGGTGTGCAGGCTGAGCTCTCGCTCTGGGCACTGTGGGCGTCCGGAACGGGGCTCCGAGGTGGGGCATACTCTGCAGGGCTGAGCTTAACCCTGGGCTCCACCCAGCACCTGCCGGGAACGCCCCCAGCTGGGAAACTGCAGGCTGCCCACAGACTTGCCCAGGGCCCCGGGGGTGAGCAGCCTGCAGCTAGGAAGCACCGAGACAGGCAGGCATGTAGGTGATGGGCGGTGGGTGCATGCAGAGAGAGAGAGGGTAGGAGGGTGATTGACAAGCGTCAGAGGGTACATGGACAGGTGGTTGGTAGGTCAGTGGAGATGTAGGCAGACAGACGGTAGGTGATAGACAGACGGTAGGTGCATGCATACAGATAGGTAGGTGATAGATAGTCGGTAGATGATAGATAGATGATAGATCGATAGATGATAGATAGATAGATAAATGATAGATGATAGATAGATAATAGATAGATAGATAGATAGATAGATAGATAGATAGATAGATAGATAGAGATAGATAGAGATAGATATATATATAGATAGAGATAGATAGATAGATGATAGATAGATGATAGATAGATACATAGATGATAGATAGATAGATGATAGATAGATAGATAGATAGATAGATGATAGAGAGATGATAGATAGATAGATGATAGATGATAGATAGATGATAGATAGATGATAGATAGATAGATAGATAGATAGATATAGATAGATAGATAGATAGATAGATTATAGATAGATAGATGATAGATAGATAGATAAATGATAGATGATAGATAGATACATAGATAGATAGATAGATAGATAGATGATAGATAGATAGATG